ATGTTGGGTGCTATGTTTTCACAGCCCAATAAGTCTTAATATTATCAAAAAATTAGTTTACCTTTTATTTTCATTAATTAAGTTCTATCTCTGAGAAAATAAACGAAATCGGACAAAAAACGGTCCACGCACGGTCGTTATATTTTTAGTGTCAGATGTACGTATTCAAATGGCTGAAAATGCACAAAAACCGAAAGTAGCACAACATATTTTTGCGCCAGTTATGTCAAGTCAAAACTTTCAAGTTGTGTTTGTTACTATGAAGCCACTAAAACCGATAATTTGCCGATTGAATTTGAAACAAAGTATAGCCCGTTTTTCAATTTATATTTATATTTATTTATATCGTTGGATTAGTTTCGATTGCTATCCCATATCACGACAAACATTCTGAGGTATTTACGATGGAATGTAATCTGTGACCGTTCAACTTGCTCCTAGTTTTGAATGCCATGTTGTAAAAACAGCATTCGCCCAACCTTGTCGCCTGGCGGCGCTTGAAACTATGCAACCGAACCACCTAGCACGCCGAAAATATGACAAATTCTAACCCATTTTACTAGTTCACGGGAGAACTCTGTAAGAAGGTGTGATACATAGATGTCAGGCGTGAACTGTCAGACATAGTGCCGAACACATCCATCGTATGCCGGGGTCCACGTTTAAATTTATTGACACTTTGATACACAGCGTATTAACTTCAAGATGGCGGCGGTGGTGAAACCGCGGGTCTTGATCTTGGGAGGTGAGTGGAATTTCCTGATTTGCAGATCGTACACTTGCGTGTGCAGTGAACAAGTGGCGTGTGTACGAATGTAGGAAGCAGAACATCGGTGTGTGGCACAACACATGTGGTGGTGCACTGACCGACTTCTAATGTAACCAACTCTATTCAAACACTCGGTGTTGATCGTGGCGATCTAGCACTTGACAGGCAAGTGACGCCGCCACCGGTATTCAGTCCGTACTACACAAATTAATCGGTCATCGATGCATTTATTTACTTTTCCTCTATCAACACATCTATCTTTCAAAAATCATTTGCAGTACCAGTAACCACTGTATTTAATGTAGGTGTTCTCACACACGCTTGCCATGTGTCCTTGTTTGTATGGGCAATTGTTCTGTAATTCCATTGGGACCTTGTACCATTCATACAAAACTTCCGGCCCGTTATTCAAAAAAGGAAGCCACTGGCGTAATGGTAGGTTGATTGTGACAATAGCAGTTAATTAAATCGGAGAGGTATGAAAGCATTTTTTTCTGTTTTAGGAGCGTGGTTTCGGTCGTTATGTTTACAAAGTATTGCGCTTCTTTTAGTTTCACACGTTTTTGTTTATCTGAGGTTTCAATGACAACACTTCCGTAATACTGTAAAACGTGTCTTTTGTAAAACGCACCCTATTTTAGCTAATCCGTAATTTCACCAGTTCAAGATGTCGGTAATTTAAATAAAAGTGCATCTCACATTGAGATTACTGGCACTTCAGCTAAATTAAGATTCTGTTAATTCATCCATTTATTCAAATTCGCTAAAAATGACATAGAGTACAAAATACTGTAAAATACTTTATTTTAGCTAGAATAAATTTTTGGCGAAAATAACTTTTTGGGTGTTTTGTATAGAATATATTTTCACTGATTTTTGTCAAATTGAATGTAAAATATAGCAAAAAATATATATTCGCTAGATTTTATTTTCACTGAATCATTCCTTTAGCAAAGATAGTGAGAATTAATTCCAAGCGAAAATAAAGTATTTTACAGTACATCTGAAACCAGCAAAATGGCTGTCACTTCAAAGTAAATGATGCATACCACATTTGCTCTGTTAATTAGATGTACTTAAAAATGACATGTCTTGATGGTCGAAATAAGTTGTATTTCAATGAATCTCATAAATTATTGGTTTTATGTGCGTTTCTATGGAGACACATTTCTAATAGCGCAAATGAGGCATTGTGATTATTCTTCAATATATTGCCAATTAAAAAAGATCCAGAACTGAAAGGTCAACAGTTGAATAGATTTTTATTACCTGCTGCATTGTGGGATTGAAACATTGTCTTTACCTGTTGCTTAACGTGCCTCTCTTTTTATGCAGTGCATATTTGTTGATGTGTCCAATCAAATCCCAGAATGCATTGCATCACTATGAAACTTAAAATGGCACCCAAGGCTGAAGGAGCCTGATGGCCGCCAACACCTTTATAAGCATCAAGTGCTTCTTCAATTTTGCTCGTAATGCTCATGACTCGTAATGCTCGTAAAGCATTATCCCACTTGCCACCATTTTGTTTTTTTTAAAAAAAAAACACAATGCAGTGTGGATAAAATTATTTTTAATTAGCGAAAGCGATTCAAAACATGTCACTAAATTTCAAATAGCGATTCAAAACAACATGTCACTAAATTTCAAATAGCAAATCAAAACAACATGTCACTAAATTTCAAATAGCAAATCAAAACAACATGTCACTAAATTTCAAATAGCGATTCAAAACAACATGTCACTAAATTTCAAATAGCAAATCAAAACATGTCACTAAATTTCAAATAGAAAATCAAAACAACATGTCATAAAATTTCAAATAGCAAATCAAAACAACAACATGTCACTAAATTTCAAATAGCGATTCAAACATGTCACTAAATTTCAAATAGCAAATCAAAACACATGTCACTAAATTTCAAATAGCGATTCAAACAAAATGTCACTAAATTT